AGTCCCGAAAATTTTATAGAATAGAAGTATTTATTATATAAAAATATTATCTTATACTGGTAATTAATTTTGTTGGTCAAGGATTTGATATTGCGGCAGCCACACGTGTGTGTTTGAGATGGGTATTATCTAACATTTCTTTATTATTTGATTAAAATTCGTAATCAAGTTGGTATGATTTGACGTAATTGTACAGCGATGATTCACGTGTACTAGTATAAATGTTAATTATTAATTTACTTTTATTTTGATAAAGATTAACATTAAATTGTAATCCTACTTATCTTATACTTTATTACTCTTCATTCTTTCAATTCAAATACTAGTTTCAATGCAAGCTTATGGATAAGATTATAAAGGTTAATTGTAATTCCATTTTAATTAAGATAGTTGCTACTTGCTAATGATGATTTAATATGTACTGGATATCTGTTAAATTGTTATTGTTTTATCTAATATAAAAATGTTTAGATGAAACTTGAAATTTGTATACATCCATACTGGAATCTTATTCTTATGTAGTTAGAATTCTCTTAAATTCGAATTTCATGATGAGTTGATTTTCTTGTTAAGAGCTCAATTTAATTTTAAATTAATGGTGTGTTTGATTGCGAGCATGAAATTTGCATGGAAAAAAATAAATTGCTTATACCTTATTTGTATGAAAATTATTAATCAAATGTGTTTGATTAATTTAATTTTCAAGTTAGAAAATATTATACTTTGATTGATTTAGTTTTCAAGTTAGAAAACATTGTACTTGTCCATATTAGTGATCAGTGATGGATGGATGGATGAGAGAGAAAGGATAGATGAGAGAGACGAGATAATGGATTCCTTGAAAAATAAAATCATAATCCCCTTAAAGAAAATATTTTTCTTAATTTTGAGATAAATATGATCACGTAATTAAAAGTAGGAAAATATTTTTTAAGGAAAAAGTGTCAATCAAACAAAACAAAAATAGAAATTTGGATAAAAAAAAGGAATATTTTATGAAAAATATTGATAATCAAAATGCACACTAAGAATTTTATTAGAGGTTTAAGTATGTGATTCATCCTAATCTTATTACAATTATTTAATAATCTTCCTGCTTGCAATCATTTCACGTCAAATCAGAGAAGAAAAAGTAAGAAAGAGAAAAAAAACCGTTAGAGAGAAAAATTGAAGAAAAAAGGAATAAAAGCTTTTACACGTTCAAAATTCGTTCGCAAAAATTTTCAATCCTAAGTAGCTCATGTATAAAAATAATTTGACGAATTAGGTATGAATTTCTCTAAATGTCAAGTGATTGTGTTTTCATCTTTTAATTTTTAAGTTAAGAATTTTATGTGTTATTACATTATCAAAACTAAGGAATGATTTTTTGGGTAATATCATAGGGTATTATTATGTAGATCTATACAGAAATTAGTTTAGGACTAAATATCCTAAGCGGAAATTGAGAATGGATATGATTAAAGTGAGAATGAGACAGTTGGATTTTTATTCCATTAGAAAATTATGTTATGTCCGCATTTTATTTGCTTTTTATATTAAATTGTGAAAATAATAATAAGAAATCTATACTGAGTGAGTGTATTGGTATGCTCATTTCATATTCTAAATTATTTTTATAGATGCTTGATGGATTGGAGTTGAAAGTTGAGAGTACTAATAAAGTCCATGACGTTGGATCAATAATTTTACTTACTTTCCATATTTAGCCTTTAGCATCAAATTATTTTGTAATCAAAATTTTATTTTTAAAATCGATAAAACATATTATGAGACAATAAAATAGCTCATTTCATTACGCAAAGTTCTTCCATTTTTTTTTTAATTACAATGCATCAATCAATTTTTATAATTGTTGACTTTCGAAAGTGGCCAAGAGGTATCGTGTTAGTGATCAGGTCGACGTGATCACCATTAGATCCGATCCACGTGGCCTGATATGCTAGACCATGACGTCACATCGACTATATTTCATATTAATGATATTGACAAACTTTTGACAACAGGTCAACCACCCTACAACCCTATGCTGACATTCCTGACATATATTAAGTGGGGAATGTCGTATCAATCAACTCTAGAGATGCGCTTGTCAAATTCTCTTCTGATTGTTTAGGACTTCGGAAGCCTAAGGTGTTCGACAGCGAGAAGTGGACCCACCTCGGACCACTTCGGTCATTCATAGTGAAACGATCTCGGCGCTCAATGCACACAGCATCGGATGTTTACTCCTATAACCTCTTGCTTTAGTTGACGCCAATGCCACGTGTATAAACATAAGGCTTTCGTTTATGATTAGTAACAATAGCCTCCAAAGTCTATGTATAATCATTCTTGTGATACATAGAGTTTCTGTTCCATCAATTTTGAAAATTCTGTGTAATAATGTAGTTCCCCAAGTTTAAAATGTTTACGTATAAGTAAGTTAAAGGTACGTAAATAATTTTCAAATTAAAAAATTACCCATTTTGTTTGTACCATAAACTTTTTTTTTTTTTATCTAAAAAATAAAAATAAAAAAGTATCTTATCTAAACATATTTAAAAAAAAAATTACATATTAATCATGCTCGTCATATTAATCCATAGTATTTATTTTAAATTAGAAACCAAAGTTACATAAAAAAATAGATATCGAAGTGAAAAATCGTAAACAAAAGTTTTTCTTTTCTTTTGAATGGGATTAATACAAATTGAGGAATAAAAATTCTTCATTTAAATGTATCGAGATAAAAATATTCTTCTTTTCTTTATATATTTATATCTAATAAGTAACGGGATTATTATCATTTTTATGTTTATACAAAAATGAACGGGCAATAATAAATATCCAATACTATATTAATTATTTTTTAGAACATATAATATTAAAATTTTATTAATATTTAAGAAATTGGATTTAGTGAAAATATGTAATTGAGATGCATAGCTTATATTTAATGTGTGGATACAAATATGGAAAGTGTAAGTAACTCCTAATTATTATGAGTAATTAGTAAGGTTCTTAAGATTGATGGATAATTTCTCCCATCATCTATTCTTTTCCTCCTAACTGTTGATCACATTTAAACAATTGGCTCTTTTCAGTTTATTGTCATTTGTATTTAAATAGTTATACTATCAACTATTAATTAATTAAATATGAAATTTATAATTTTTGAATGAAAATATTGACAATATTATATAAGGGCAAAATGATAAATTGAACATTTCTCATCCATCTCCAAATTTTATTTTTATATATATATTGTAGATAGATTGTAGATATGTATTTCTATACTCAGCATTTTTTAATACGTACCACTTGAGTTGTGAACCAAATTAAATGAATTATCTCGTCCTCATAATTTGGAGATATTTCCTTTTGTCAATTCTCGTACGTTTCTCTATAATCGCGAATGGCTTTTTTTGGAACTAGTCAATCTGTTCGGACTGTTCCCATGCAATCTTTCTGGGCTGCGAATTGGTGTGGTGAACGCATTTCCATTGAATCTATACTCAGCAATTTGTAATACGTACCACTTGAGTTGTGAACTAAATTAAATGAATTATCTCGTCCTCATAATTTGGAGACATTTATTTTTGTCAATTCTCGTACGTTTCTCTATAATCGCGAATGGCTTTTTGTGGAACTGGTCAATCTGTTCGGACTGTTCCCATGCAGTCTTTCTGGGCTGCGAATATGTGTGGTGAATGCAATTCCATTGAATCTTGAAAACGTGTATTTTATCTTCCAATCATAAACAGTTAAATTCATCATGAAAGGGAATTTTGCCGTTGAATTTCCCCGGTCTGCTGATTTTAGTTTGACACGAAATATTTGATTTTTAAAATATTTTTGAAAATTCTAACCTTACGTATAGGCCGCCATCCCACGAACTTAAAATTATTACCCAAATTTCAATTATTGTGCATTGGCTGAATAATCAGACGACGTTTTACCTAACATATATAAAACGTGGTTTTAATTCGCTAAATTCAAATAAATAGTTTCCAAACGTGATGAACATGCTAACTCTACTTTTGTCAATTCTCGTACGTTTCTCTATAATCGCGAATGGCTTTTTGTGGAACTGGTCAATCTGTTCGGACTGTTCCCATGCAGTCTTTTTGGGCTGCGAATAGGTGCGGCGAATGCATTTCCATTGAATCTTGAAAACGTGTATTTTATCTTCCAATAATAAACAGTTAAATTCATCTTCAAAGGGAATTTTGCCAATGAATTTCCCCGGTCTGCTGATTTTAGTTTGACTCGAAATATTTGATTTTTAAAATATTTTTGAAAATTCTAACCTTACGTATAGGCCGCCATCCCACAAACTTAAAATTATTACCCAAATTTCAATTATTGTGCATTGGCTGAATAATCAGACGACCTTTTACCTAACATATATAAAACGTGGTTTTAATTCGCTAAATTCAAATAAATAGTTTCCAAACGTGATGAACATGCTAACTCTACAAGCGGAATTAACGTTTACGGCTACTGGGATACCGTCACAAGATTCATTAATCTTTATAATTTTAAGGAAGAGTAATCTTTTGAAATGATTAGCTGGAATAGGTGACATTTCAAGATAAAATATAAATTAAAAAAATTGGATTAGGTGAAAAATTTATATATCTACAACATCACTAATTGATCGCTCCAAGGAACATTTCAAAGTGAATTGAAGTATACGGAGAAGGATAAACCGCAACACGTCAAAGTTTTAAAATGAAATAATTCAATATAATATTTAATGATAAAAAAATTTTGATTTATTGCAAACAAAACTTCATTTATTTTTCAACGCTCCCGATTTTTTCGTTTTTGGTTCATGCACTTATGACTTTTCTCATTAGTCCTTATCAACCACGAAGAGTGCGGTGTGCGCACATGTTAATCATATATCCATGGTTAATCCCGTCAACTTGTTATCTAAGAACAGTTCTACCAGGAAAAGTTACTTTAGAAGTCAATTCAAAGAAAAACCCCGGATGCTTCTATAAATATATCTATAAATTTAACACAATTCTTAAGTGCGTTGTTTCTTGTTAAGGTTGTCTATCCAGGATGAGGAAATTCGCTTTTATTTCTCTGTTTCTCCTTCTGGGGAGTCATTTAGCAAATAGCCGTTCGATTAAGGAAAATTTGAATTTCAATCCCGTATCAGACGGTTTTTATTCGTTCAGCAATTCATGGGGTTTATCAGCATCAACAGAGACATGTGAGCCAGTTTATGGGATCTTGCCATGCTCGTCAAATGTATGGGGGCTGCTGTTTCTGATTGTGATATATGAGATCTTGCTTTCTTTGGGGGAGAGATATGTCGCAAACGGGTCGGAGCAGTTGTACGAGATTATCGGGACGGGTGGTATTTTTGGAGCCAGTTTGTTTCAGTTTCTTGGAACAATCCCACAAATTATCATAGTTCTTGGTAGGTTACTTCTTCATCTCTTCTTATTTCATCCATGGTGTTGGTTTTTATTGTATGCCTAAGTTTTTTTTTATAGTTTATACGTTCAGGTAGTTCAACATCCTCTATATAATTTATTAATCAGATATTCTTTAATTTAAGTTACGTTCTCACACCACCGATGTGCAGACTCTCATCGTCCCTTAAGCATTCGATATTCCTACTTGGCTATATATTCTTTATGTTGTCTAGATATTCCTAATTTTTTGGAGTTGGTCTCAATAGGAAGAATAAGAATTAGGAATAGTAATCACTTTCCTAGAATGCTACCGTTCATGGCCTCCAAAGTCATAGTTGACAAGTAAAAGATCTCATGCTCAATGAATATGCAAGACTATGGGCTCACCTCAATCTATTTTTCCAATTTGATGACAACAAATATATAAAGAAAAAGTTATACGTCTTATTTTTTTTAACCTCTTTTTATGATAATACAAAACCCTAATGACGACTTCCTATTTATAAAATAAATTAGGGCGAGATAGAAATTATAAGTGTGAAATTTCTACACTAACTTTAATTGAAGTAATATTGTCTCAAAACACAAATCTAGTCTAGATGTGTATTAAGATTTTGGGATTCCGTATTAAATGTCAACCTTACTAAGAGTAGCATAAGTACTTGTATATTATTTAGCGTTTTTCATCTTTATTCAATGTGAAATTTATCACTTTAACCATATATGTCTTAATTTACAATAGGTGCAGAGGTGTCAACCCAGCATGCCCCATTGTTTAGCCCTTTTGTCCTGGAATAAATTTATTTGAGCCAGACTGCACGGTTCGTTACGTAAATGTACAGATTGCCCGTAATTTACATTTCTGAACCAAAAAGATTTTAGGTTAGGATACAAGCAAACGGAAGGCTTGAGAATAATTGCAATTCAAGAATCCATTTGTACAACAAAATATAGAAAGGATAATTGATTGACCTTCAGCTTTTCCGTAAAATAGTTTGCATTTCATTTAAAAAAATCAGTATTGCATCTACAATATTCTCCTTTCAATAAACCGTACATTTCATGGTACTGATAAAACTTAGATCATTAAGACTCGAAAACAAACCTTATACATTTCTCAAATTTCTTCGGTTTTTGGTTATATATTAACGATTTTTCATGCATGACAAATTATCTGATAATGGAAATTAATTATGTTTTCAGTATCTTCACTTTCGGGAACTACTGAAGCGGCTCAACAACAAGCTAAATTAGGAATGGGACTGGTTGCAGGATCTACAGTCTTTCTTTTGACGTTGGTTTGGGGCTTCTGTGTCCTCACAGGAAGCTATGATCTTTCTGAGGCCAATACTGATAATACTGGAAATCCGAAAACTCTAAAAGGTCTTATTTTCTTTCCAAAATTTTATTGACAAGAAACTGTAATTTTGATGTAGTAACGAGTAAATGCCTTTTTTAAAGCAGGTGTTGGCGTTGTGACTGATGTTGAAACGTGCTATACTGCACGAATAATGGTGATAACATTGGTTCCGCTTATCATCCTTCAACTCGTAAAAGTTTTCCCTTCTTCAGGGAGACGAGCGATTATACTTATTGCTCTTATTATCACAGCGGGTCTCCTAATTGCTTATATCTCCTATCAGGTAACAAGACTTGGAATCCGGCCTATTTATGTCTTTCCTAAGGGCATGACGAAATTTTGTCTATAATATTAGTTTTTTATTTTATTTATTTATTTATTTATTTATTTTTATTCACGTGAAATTTTGTATACACAATATTGCATTGGTGTATTCACCTGAAATACTTTGCTAAGAAGGGCCCAATACCCTTTTGCTATCAATATTGCGCAGGTTTTCCAGCCATGGATTCAGAACAGAAGATTTGAGCATTTGATGTATAAATATGCGAAAGACAAGTTACTGAAGCTCTTGACCAGAAATGGCAGGCCGAATACTCAAAAAATACAAGAGTTCGTACTAACTTTAAATACTTCTTCTACAAGCTTCAATCACTTTGAAATCACACTAATCTGTTTGGCTGTATGTCTTCGTTATACATATACAACTACTATAACGCTGATATCATTTTTTTTTTTTTTTTTAAATAATAGTTTGTTCAACAGAGTCGACAGGAATAGAAATGGATCAGTATCAGAAGCAGAACTCAGAGTTTTTTTCTTAGGATTGAAGTTGAACGATGATGATTTGAGTACAGAAAAAGATGTGGAGGACATCATGGAATCTTTTGATATCACTGGCGACGCGGGTATCAACCGGGATGAATTTGTTACTGTAATGACAAAACTAGTTAACGACTTTTCCGAAAAGACTCCAGGTCCTAAACACCGAAATGCTGCGAGTAGCAATACCAAGGTAAAGTCGAGTGTTTTTTTCATTTTTCCCGAAATATAAAGAGTTACTTTTTTAGCTTAGCCGAAAATGCTGTTTGTCGTCTGATAATTTAACATCGAAATGCAGAATACGAGTGAAGCACAGCAGAGTCTGTTGGCTAATAATACAAGCACGACGGCAACCCCAAGCACGACGGCTAGTAATGTTTGGGTCAAATTCTTGACGGCTGCTTTTTTCCTGATATTTGGGTCTGGCATGTTGCTCGTACTTGCACAACCTCTCATTACAAGCGTTGTGTCGTTTTCTCAAGCTGTTAATTTGTCTTCGTTTGCTGTCTCGTATTTGGCTATACCACTTGCAATGAATTACAGAGTTGCAGTTTCATCAATTGGTTCAGCAAGTCGTAAGTCACAGAGAAGCATTTCATTAACACTATCCTCGGTATGTCACACCTTAGTATAATTTCCATTCAATCTATACTCCATTTGTTTCTTCTGATGTTACGGGGATGAATCACCCCATCTAAAAATTATTTTTCAGATAACAAACGTGTTTAATAAATCATGCTTTCCCTTTGTACAGCTATATGGTGCGGTGTACATGAACAACGTTATAGGTCTGATCGTGTTCCTTGCACCAGTTTACGTGCGCAATTTGTCATCAGACGTCTCAGCTGAAGTCGTAGTTCTTCTCGTTGTCTGCATCCTGATGACCTTTTTTACAAGCTGCTGTACGATATTTCATCGTTGGACAAGTTACGTAGTGCTACTTTTATACCCGATTTCTCTTGTTTCAGTATACGTTCTTACCTCGGTTCTCGGGTGGTCTTAGATATTTAGATTTGATATGTCTTAGAATTCTTGCGCATGCCTGTATTAATTATTGGTATTTTCATTGCAACATGCAACTTTTTTTTCACACAAAGATTGTACCGTATTTTTCTTTTTTAGCCTCTATTGATTAAGATAAGATTTTTAGTAAATTTTGATAAAGATTGATGAAATATAAGATTAAAAGTTGTAAGTCCCATGAAATATATAATTAAAATTAGTTGTTGACTTTGACTTAAATTATCAAATAGAACCTAGTATTATTATGCACCAATTATTACCTTACATATGCGCTTGTTACACAACATCCCCTTAGAGGAAGGGCAAACGAGGGAGGCAACAAAATTAAAAAAAATTACAATTTCAATTTATTATATTAATAATATAAATCACTCCGAAGAGAGTCTCAAGCCAATATTAAAATGGACTAAATTTAGAGTTAGGTTTTACAAGAACTTTTAGGGCAAATTTTATCAAATAAAGAAAATTTTCTAAACTTTACATTGAGGGCCTGCTTGGGCATTTTTTCCTAAAAAATTAGGACCCCATATATGAAGTAGAAGAAAAATACGTCTCCAATTTGTAAAAAAAAAATTGATATTTATGTCTTATAAATATTAACCTTTTTTTTTCCTGGTATCAAAAGACATGAAAATATTTACTAAAAAAAAAAAAAAAAACCCTAATTCTCTCTACCTGGGTGATTTTCGATAATTGGTTCAATTTTCATCTTCACGCTAAAACTCTGTGATTTTGAGCAAACTTATGTTCTTTCATTCTTGTTTGTATAGTTGGATCAATGGATAAAGCGGTTGAATCTACTGTTCATAAGTGGAAACTGAAGAAGAAAAAAAAATGTTGTGCCATTGAACAATCTTCAAGAAATGTTAATGTCCATCCTTAAAATCGAAGATAAAAAAAAATGTTGTGCATTGAATGATTATAAGAGTTGGCTTGATATGACATATGTATTGCTTCTATGCCAGAGCTTCTGACCCAGCTTGTTTTACAAGTGCTAAGATATAATTTCTATATCAACGTGGTGGGGGCATATCCATGGAAATTGAGTCAAATCTTTCCTTTCTCATGCTTATTTTCCCTGTGAGCATCAATTGTTGCTTACCCAAGCACTTGAACATTTTCAGCATTTTGTCTATCAAGTTGATGGACTAATTTCTCATTCTGAGGTCATTTGGATATGGGGTTAAATTCACCAATGGCCACCCAACTTTATACTTGGTGTTACCATGTCCACTCAATTTGATTTTGTTTCACCATGATCATCCAATTTCATCTAACGTTTTGCCATAGCCATCTAATTTCTTTTCACCATTTTCACTAATTTATTAAGGGGTAAAATGGTAACTTTGTTTTTATATATATAAAAATAAAAACTTATTTTTAAAAAAACTATAAATTAGTGAAAAGAACTTGAACTGCAATGGTGAAACATTATATTAAATTGAATGATCATAGTGAAATAAAATCAAATTGTGATCATTGTGACACTAAATATAAAGTTGAGTGGTCATACGTGGATTTAACCTTTTGGATATGACTTAAAGAAGGTTTCAATAAAGATCAAGATGGTGGACAAAGTTTCCCAAAACTGGGCGCTAACTATGAACTTTCTGGATTATAGTTCTCTTTTGCACTTGTCCTGCTCTTTTCCGGTTAATGTTTTGTTTCGTTTTGTTTTAGGAATTTGATGGTTTTGTTAAATTTCTTGCCATGAGCTTTGTCAGATTCTTGATGGTAGGCAACGTGAACGAAAAGTAAAATGTTGCATTGCCATTTAATTAAAGGTCACACATTATTTTATTTTATGTTATAAGTGACATGCTGCATATATCAAACAATTAGGGTGCATTTGGTTTGCATTTCTGTTTTTAGTTTTTGAATTCATTTCTTGTTTTCTATTTGGAAGGATTATTTTAAGGATGCAGAAAAGTGTTTAGTTTATCATTATGAAAAACTGTCTCTAAGCAAAAAATTTAAAAATACATTTAGTTTAAAAACTTTAGAAATAGTTTTATGATATTTTGAAAGAGTATGGAAAAGAGAGACAGAGAAAGGGAGACGGAGTTTTATTTGGGTAAGTTTTGTGTAATTTTATTAATTATTTTAATTTGAAAATTTTTAAGCTCATTTTCATTGTTCTAAGTTTTTTGAGTATTTTCGAATGTCAAAAAGTCGTTTTAAGTTTTGTGTTATAAAATTTTCCTTATTTTCAAAATCACATTTTCAAAATAACATCTCAAACATATTTTGAGTTTTTCTTAAAACTGAAACTGAAAATGACCTCAAAATAACAAACCAAACGCACACCTAGAGTTCTCAATTTTAAAGTGCCATACATATAATCAAACACTACCTTTGTTGTATCAATAATTAGACATCAAGAGAGAAGGAATGCAATCTATCTTTTTTCCTCAATACGCTTTGCCAAATTCTTGTTGAAAATTAATATATTGTGTCATTTTCTAATAAAAATGTTATGTTACGTGTTTTTAAAAACCAACCAACAAAAAGTCAAACACTCCAATCCAACGCATCACCTCAACCAAGAATAGTTAACTAAAAGTTCGCGTATTATATGAATATTAATACATGGATTTAGAATACTATTATTACACTACCTAGCTTCGGTCTAGATCATCATTAATGTGGCAGCTAACTGAGCAAATCTATAAGGCCCACTCACCCTCTATGTCCACTTCCAATTAGTAAGGAAACACCTCTTCCTATCCAAGGCTCCGCGATTCACTTCGAAGGTTAAGCATTGCTTCCTTTACCCAAAAGCGACCCAGGATCTCCTCTAAACAAATCTTAATAATTGATTGAGTTGAGGTTAAGTTCAAGTCACCAGCCACATTTTAGAGCATTACATGTTGCATTAATGTCCGTTAGTCCATGATTGATGGATTGACACCTAAATGGAGACATATCCCATCCTTACCTTCAGATAAAGCCACGTGCCTTCTCATCCTACGACTAGCACTCTACCTCCACTCCTATATAAACTCACTTACATGGCCATTTGGAAGGTAATGTTACCATATATATCAAGCACACAGCTATATATCATTCTTAACCTTTTACTTTTGGTATCACCATTGATTGATTTGATCGTCAGAGTGCTTGCAGCCGACTTCCCACCATCGAAGTAGGCCACGAGTAACTAATGCCGTGTTCTAATGTACAGAGAGTCATCTATGTGGAACTGTTAGATATTGGCCACGTCATTCTGATAAAAAAGAGGACAAGTGGTTACAAACTCTTCGTTCATGTTGTGCTAGCTTATCTAAACTAAGTTTAATACATATATAAGCTTACAATCTTGAAACAAGAACATTTTGAAGTAAAGTTTTTTTCTCCAGTTAGACAAGAAGTAAATTTAGCTTTGAAATTATTTATAGTGAAATGACTTGCTTTGTCACTTAGGTTTTTCCATTTTTTCCCAAAAAAATTGCAAAATCGAATTTGTAAAAAGCGTTGTTGAGCAAATCAAAAATAACAATTAAAGTAAGATCTAAATATCTACTTGTAAAGTTCCCTATCAATACATTTAAAGCTTCGTCAATTATGTTTTGTTAGGAAAAATCAAATTATACATGGTGACCTTATTATAAAACGCAAAAAGGATAATAGTAGCAATTAAATATTAGTTTATAAATTTATTATAAGCATGGGATAAACTTATTCCAAAGATTTCTATTATAAAATGTCAAATTGCAATTGTGAAGTTTTAATTAAAAAGTGACATATTATGTTACTTTTATTGCAGAAGCTTTATTCAGATCCAATAAAGGAAAAAGAAAATATCTAAATGTCGATTTAAATGTCTTAAGGAACATGGTAATCTTAACAACGATGTACTAATTAAAAAAGGCAAATTATAGAGCGTGCAACCTTTTAATTAGGACTGCTGGATCGGGCTTTCGCCCGTTTGAAGTAGTCAGCCTAACCTTCGGTTCCCGTAACCAAGTTTTTCTTTCTCACTTTAACCCATAACCCGAAGGGACGACTGACTTTCTCCTGTCTGGTCGAGGGTGATTCTTCTGACAATGACGCCTATGGGCTTGATTATTTTGAATGTAATTTTAGCGTGTTAATTGTGTTAGATTCCGTACATTACATACATCCATTTGCTTTTGCAATTTTGGATTATCATCTGTCAAATAATGTAAAGATTAGAAGAAAAAGTCAAAATTGCATAAGGGTCGGCGAAGCATATTGACCATGAAATCCCATTGATGTATTCAAATTAGAATATTTCTTCCCAAACTTACATGAAACTACCTCTCTTGCTCCAAATTTCATACATCAGCAACCAAATTATTTAAGAGAATATCTATATCAACCCTATAAAACCTGGGTACTAGAGTTGTAACCCTTCTCAAAAGCTGGGCCTGCTCATTGTTGGAAAAAAGGGGCTAGAGGATGATTTTGGCATAAAATTTTTGTGGGACTCGTTGGTCAATTTTGGAAGATCGAAGTTGATCATTGTTCTCCTCCGTGAGAGCATCGAAACCATGTATTTATTTACCAAAATTGATGAATGGATGAATGAGAAATCGGAGCTCAGAGATGACCATTGAAAGATGGTTTATGTGGAAAATAAATCTAGTCCCACATAAGAAAATGAAGAAAGTATTAATTACTTTATATAGAAGTGCACATTGGAATGATGTAATCATGTGTAGCATAGAGACTCTCTCCACGTGTGCGCGCGCAGAAGGTGCAAATCATGGACCGAAGTTGCCTTCGAAACTTGAACTTGTGTGCGGGCGCGACCTGCGTACACGAATGTCGAACTGGATGGAGCAAAAATTGGCCTGTTTGGAGTGTCCACATTTTGCAATTTTTTGCTTTCTTCAACCGACCTTTGAGTTTTCGAAAAACTGCAAAAACTCCCAGAAATTGAAGCAACACTAGTGCTTATTGCTATGGAGTTAATAGGAAGATTTGATTTTATATATATGTCTCATTTTCTAGCAATTCTAACCACGAGAATACTACATACACACAAAATCTGTCAAATTAGTGTTGTCTGCATACATAATTTGTTGCATTTTCAGCGTCGTCTTTGTGGTGATATTGTTCGATACAAACTCAGTTC